CATAGCACTTTCTAATAGTTTCCATGCTTATGCAGAAACCATAAATCTAAGCACTGAGTCTGAAAGGTGTTTGCTATTGAGAAGGGAGAAGCAGGGGAAAGGAGAGGGCAGGTGGGTGAAGCAGAAGCATGGTCAGGTCACCTTTGTCATAGTAATTTGTCCTTGAATTTTCCCCTCTGACCTCTTCCCACTCCCAATCCCCATGTGTTGGCCCACTTTTGCTTCTGAAAAGCATCCCCTTTCTTTAGCCAGGACTTCGGCCTGTTGTCATGGCCCAGGCAGAGGGGCAAATGCCGCAGGGCTCAGCCCCTCTGTGCAGTGGGCCATTTTGGGTAAAGGAAGTGGCTCTCCTACTGCAGGGTGGGGGAAGGCTGCTGTTCTCAGAGGACTATTTCAGGGTCTGCTGGGTGAAGAGAGTTTGAGTTCTGCCTGCCATATACTCACTCCCTATGCTGAAGGTTGGGGGGCAGCCAGAAAGTTTTAAAGCTCTAAAAAGGAACAGGGAGGAGGTCTGGAGATACTGACAAGTCTCCATAAGGCTCTAGTTAAAGAACATGACTGGCTTTTTCTGGAAGGCATTCAGACTCCTCCATTTCAATGACATCTGTGATAATAAATGAAGATGTGGTATGGATGATCAAAGCTGCATACAACTAAAAAATGGTTCAAACCAGCCACATTAGCAGGGGAAAAAGACATTGTGACAACAGCCCCAGTGCTGAATGGCCAGGGATGATGTGGTCTCTGTAGTGTGTCCCCAAAATTTATATGCTGTCACCTAACCCCCAACGTGATGGTATTAAAAGGTGGGGCCTTTGGGAGGTGATTAGTGCTCTTATAAAAGAGACCCTGGAGAGCTTGCTTGCCCTTCTGCCATGTGAGGAGACAAAGAGTAGTTGCAGTCTGCGACCCAGAATAGGGCTCTCACCAGGACCTGAATTCCCTGATCTTGGACTTCTAGCCTCCAGACGGTGAAAGGTAAATGTTTGTTGTTTGTAAGCCAACCATTTTATGGTATTTTTGTAATAGCAACCCAAACTGACTAAGACAGGAGGTCACTGTTCAAGATCAAAACTCTTCTACTGAGAACCCACCAAGTAGATAATCCAAAAATGGATAATAGAGTTTCCTATAGCTTTGTTTTATGAATATGGACATGCTTAGCTTAGCCTGGAAAAGGTGATGATTTTACCAGTTCTGACCTCCCAAGACAAATAGCAAGGCTAGGTAGGAGGCTAAGTGCCAGACTAGGAATAGGAAATGAGTTTTAAATTTTCTCCCATGGTATCTGAGAAAGGTGGGATTTCATTTGTCTTGGGTATTAAATTTTCTAGGTGTCTAAGGGGAAAGGGTGGGATGTACAAGCTCCAAGGATGGTCCCCTTAGGGAGTGGAGTGAGCTGGTGCATTTGGGTGGGCCTACCATGTGGGTCTAGAGCAAGTGTCAGACCCAGTCTTCAGGCTGCTTAAACTGGTAAAGCATGCACCTTCATCCTTTCATTCATTTATTCATTCACTCGTTCATTTACTCATTGAACCAACAAACAATTGTTGAGTCCCTACTACGTTCCAGGCATGGTCAAGGTGCTAAGGATATGTTAGGTAGTAAAGTTAAAGATCCCTGCTCTTGTGGAGCTTACATGTTAGTGGGAGCAGACAGATCACCATCAATAAAAGTAAACAAGTACATTATATGCGATATTCGAAGGTGACAAATGTCTTGAAATAATTATAAATCAAGCAAAGAAAAAGGGAATCAGTAGTGCCATGGGTGAGGCATTGCAATCTTAACTTGGGGGAGGCAGTCAGAGTAGGCGAGATCAACCTGGCCCGCAGAACCAAGCCCCGGAAGTGACTTTTACCTTCAAGAGAAACCGCTCCTTCTCACTTTTGATTTGCTGCTCCATCTCCTCATAGAGATGCTGGATTTCTTCATCATAAGCAGCAATTTTCCTGCAAAGATGGCAAAAGGAGAGTCTTATGAGGCCGACACTGAAATTCTTTTATCCCACAGAAGCAAGTCCTAGAGCTTGGGCACCAGAACCCCACTGGCTCTGTGGGTGGTGGGGTGACACTGTATAGGTCAGTCAGTCTGAGCTGCAGGATCAGGTCCTCAGGATCAGCTGACTACAGAGGCCAGCAGGACCCTCTCTTCTTCTTCCTTCAGACCATCACTCCCGGCCATGCACATGCTCCTCAGCGAAGCTGCCCTGGCTCTATCAGCTTTATTTAACACAATTCCCTGGCCTCTGCTACACTCACCCTGCCTCCTGCCCGCTGACCCCCCCTGTTTGTAGACTGCATAAAGTTGTGTGGGCTTCTTTCCTGTTCAGCTTCTTGGTCTATGTCATTCCCATGTTGGATGCATTCTCTCTACTGGCTACATCAGCACCATCTGAACTGCACCATCAGAGGGCTCTCCTAGAATTGTGTGCTGAAGTTTGTGGGATACATACTTCTCATAAGAGCTCAAAAGATTGCATGATAATGACAACCACCACCACTATACCCCCTGCAAAGGAAGGGGCCACACCTGCCCAGGTGCTCATGCCCTCTAGGCACGGAGCCACAGGCAGACAGTATGAGACTGTGAGGCTGGCAAAGGCTGGAGTTATAATGAGATGTCCTCATCCCCACTCTCATCATCCTCCGCCCACTCAGAAGAGCCCCACAGGACAGGAAGGAAGCTCATGGGCTCCTACACAGATGAAAACAAAAGAGGCTGTGAGGACAAGGTTTGTAAGTCACCCTGGGGTTGTTCCTCATTTTTGGCCAGTAATAGATCCTCCTTCAAATGCCCCCACATTCAAACAGGAAGGATCAGGTATTAGCATTTGAACTGAGACTGGAAGTTATCACACTGCGCACAAACATTCCCAGGGTATTGTGTTTCTATACCTTTTGTCTGACCTGCAGTGACAGGCCCCCTCTCTGCCCCTGCTCTCTGCCCTCTTTCTCTCCTATTAAAGGAACTCCAGGCTCCAGTGAACAGGCTGAGGTCACAGCTCTCAAGGTCTGTTTTGAGCATGTAACACACACACATCCTGCAAATTTTGGCACTTGTCATCCTAAACTCAAATGATAGCAAGCCCCCTCTACACTTAATTCAAGTAAGAAGACTTTAATAATTGAGGAAACAGTCCTAGTCTCAGTTCTAAGAGGTTCTGGGGAGATTTCTGAAGAAAACATCAAGGATGGGTATGTATTTATTCCCCTGGGCCTTCCATCGTTTTAACCCCTACCTCCCTATGTCCACTTGGGACTCTAATCCAGTGTCAGCTGTCCCAGCTGCCTATGATTGCACCATAGCCCACTCACTGCCCCTTCCTCTCTTGCTACCTGTCACTTGCACAGACTGAGCAATGACTAAGGAGCCATTTTGATTGGCGTCCTTTTAATTCTACAGAAACCACAAAACAGACGCAGAAAAAGGAACTGATGTGAATTTCCATGGCCAAGGTCACTCATTAGAGCACCAGCCTCTGAGTTCCCTTTCTTAGCTGTACATCCAGAAACCTGACTTTGAGTGAGTACAGCAGTGGTCCCAAGATGTGCTCAGTAAAAGGTGACAGCTCTCCAAGACTTCCATGAGCTGCAGCCCTGTGTTTATCATTGTGTTTGACATCCTGGTGCAACAAATACCTTTTCTGCTTAAGAGTAAGTGGTAAATGATAGGTGTTTTGGATGGTTACTTTTGTTCTTAGCTAACCCATGACAATACAAGAAAATCTTACAGAGAAATAAGGAACAAGAACACCTGCTGTTAAATGGGAATATTTCAGGAACAGAAATGAATACAGTTCGAAAGAACTTTCAAAAAAAATGGTCTTCTCTTGGTCCCAGGAATTATCTTCCTGATCGTGAAGAAATTCAGATGCTAGATGGCAAATGGTGTCAAGAAAAACTTTAGACAGCAATTTCAACTATATAAATACTGGAGAACTAATAAAGTGAGATGAGAAGAATTAAAAAATTAATTTGGCTCTGTGAAAGTAATACTAATTACAGTCATTCATATAGACTGTTTACCATTTATGCCTAGAAACCATGCAGGGCATTAATTCTGTACTATCATTAAATGTGTTACATTAACTTTGCTCTGTTTTATTTGATTAAATTAATAAACTCTGTGCTTGCTCTTTGTGCTCACATGTCAGTTTGCTAGTCATGAAGTAATTTTGCAAACTGCTAAAAAAACAATTGGAGGGAAGGCAAATGTCACCTCTGAAAGGTATGCACTCCCGGCCCTCACTCACACAGGCTGAGTTCACTACAAAGAAGTGTTGGGAGTCCAGGTGGGCATCCGTGATCCTGGGCCCAACCAGACTCATACATGGAACCAGGTCTTTGGAAATGTGTTGGCTTGGCTGGCCTCCTGGGAGACTGCTCAGGCCTGAATGATTTTTGAGGATGCGCCCTGACTCATAACCAGCCTGGATCAGACACACGAGAAGCCAGATCAGGAGTCAGAGCCCTAGGGGCCCATCCCAGAGCCAGCTCATTTCCTCCATGTGACCTTGGACAAGTGACCTTAGATCCCAGGATAGCACCTGCCCTGCATTTCTCCCAGCACTGTCATGATGGATGTCAAACAAGAGAGCAGGTGTGGAAAACATTTGGTACTACAAAGCCCTAAATCAATGTAGGGATTATTTATTATGGTAATTATTATCAGGGGCTATGGAGGGCAAGGACCGGCATTCCTCCAAGGGGAGGAGGGCCTTAGTTTCAAGGGTAAAAGGGTTGTTGGGATTGTAAGGGTCAGAGGCAATCAGGAAGATGAAGAATACAAAGCTTAGTCAATAAAAACCGCTGTCAGACTAATCCATTAGAGACAAGGTTGTGTGAAAGTAGGAGCTGCAGAACCAAAGCCTGCATCTGCAGGGAGCTGTGAGAGCAATAATAGCGAGAGACACTGAAAAGATCTATGTGCACAGTGTGTGTTGTTTCCGATGGGCACACCTTATTCTTCCATCCAAAGGAAAAAGGCAACCAATTCTGTTTGCTTATTATATTCATTTTTATTCCCACGATTTCTAAAACCACTCTTATTGCTTGATGCATACAAGCATAGACTTTGAAATCTTCTCTGTGAGCCAATAGGTTTCCTCATCTATTCCAACCCTCACTGACCCCCTTTTCTGAACTCTTAGGACACCATACATCTTTATTTGAAATTTAATTTTTAAGTCCTGAAGAACTGTTTCATATGGGTTAATGCTGTTTTAATTCGGTTATAAACAATCAGACATTTATGCCACCCACAGGCCCTGTGCTCAAAATGTTAATGTTTAAGACTTTGAGTACCAAACTCAGAAGCCCGTGGACCATCTTGGGGGAACACTAGATTCCAGGGGAATTGAAGAATTTCAGGATTGGGAAGTTTGTCTGATCCAACCACCTATTTTTCCAGTGTTAAAATTCTTACCACAATATCCTCACCAAGTATTTAACCAAACTATATTAGAACAGCTCCAGTGATAGGGGACTTGCTGGGTCTCTAAGCAACTCTTTCATCTTTGGAATATTCTGGCTCATAGAAATGTGTCTTCCTATGATTATAAACATCCTATCCATAAAAACCTTTCATATATTTGAAACAGCATTAAGACTTCAAGGAATAGCCCTGGGTTCAGGCCATGCCTCTCCACTTCTTTGAATCATGTCTCATATGGATTTTTTTTTTTTTGGTAAGTCTGCTCACTATTCTCTTTATGCCTTGCAAAATGGGCTCTAATTTAGCTCTCTCAAATCATGGAGCCCCAAACCAAGTACTCTGTGTATGAAGACTATTCAGTGTAGATTAGAGCTGGGCTATTGCCTCTCTTGTTCTTAATGCTGCATATCTATTCATGAAGCCTAACATCACATGCTTTTTCTTGGCATGACCCATTTGTCAACTAAAAGCTCTAAACTTTATGGTTGCATGATGGTTTTTGTTTTAAAGATGGTGCTACTCAATCATACCTTTCCCACTTTGTGCTTCTGCCATTGGCTTTTTGGCTTTTGGCAAAATCTTAAATATAATTCTGTTAGATTCAGTCCATCTTTCCAGCCTGTCACTGTCTTAATGGTTTCCCACTGTTTATTCAGTGTACTCAATGACCTTCAAGTTTTGTTATATTTTAAATTTCAATCATAATGTAAGCTAAATAACCTATAATGTTGGTTTTGATTACTTCCTTTATCTGGAGTTATTTAGAAGACTGTTTAAAATATATAAACTGCCTACCAGTGTGGCTCAGTGGTTGAGAATTGACCTATGAACCAGGAGGTCATGGTTCAATTCCCAGTCAGGACACATGCCCGGGTTGCAGGCTCAATACCCAGTGTGGGGTGATCAGGAAGCAGTGGATCAATGATTCTCTCTCCTCATTGATGTTTCTATCTCTCTCTCCCACTCCCTTCCTCTCTGAAATATATATATATATATATATATATATATATATATATATATATATATATAGCGCACACACACACACACACACACTATTGGTTTCTAGTTTTATCATATTATAATAAGAGAATATACTAGCAAGGTATTTACTTTACAAAATCAGTTAACCTTCCTTTTGTAACCAAAAACACTATCAATTCTATGTAAAGTCTATGGGAAGCATGTGTATTTATTTGTAGGACACACACTCTACATTCATCTCTTAACTTAAGCCTGCTGGTGGATGGTTTCAAGTACTGTACATATTTAATGTACTTTTTGCCTGATTAATGTGTTAGGACACAAAATAAGTCTTAACAAATTCAAGAACATGGAAAACATACCAAACATCATCTGGTATCATAATGGCATGAAACTAGAAATCAACTATAATAAAAAAACACACACTAAAAACACTCAAACACATGGAGGCTAAGTAGCATGTTATTGAACAATGACTAGGTTACCAATGAGATTGAGGAAAAAATTTAAAATTACTTTAAAATAAATGAAAATG